GATACAACACACGGGAAGGGCACACAAGGATTTTAACTTTGTAATAAAGAATCAGAACCTCAAGCAAACAGTCAGCTTTGTTCAAAGGAGGAAATGCTTTCATATTCAGACCATAACCACAATTCATGGAAGCTCATGAAATGCATCCGGGAACCCAGCACCATGGGAGATATTAAGACCCGTATACTGTGGGCTGGAGGGGTGGCTCAGCAGTTAAGAGCACTCTTGCAGAGGGCCTTGGCTTGATTCCCAGCACCTACATTGCTACTCACAACCATCTGCCACTCCAGTCTCAGGGGATCCAATGGTGTCTTGAGATCTCCGTGGGCACCATGAATGCATGTGGTACATATACATCCATGTAGGCAAATCACTCATACACAGACAATAATAAAGAAATTTTTAAAAAGATCTGTAGACTGGAATTCCAACCTCCCGATATGTCAGAACGTAGTTATATTTGGAACTAGGACCTATAAAATTGTGATGAACTGAAAGTGAGTCTGTTAGAGTTAGCTCTGCATCAAGGAGCGGGGACTTAGGACCTCTTCCTCATCTGCGTTGTGCCAGCTGGGATTTCACTATACAGGTCTTGCTTGGGTAACCATAGCGCTGAGATTTCACAGGGATAGTTTCCCTGTCGTGTCCAGAAGACACTATCACAGCACATACACTGGTTCTCCGGCTCTTGTCATCTTTTTGTCTTTTCCTCTGCGGTTCCCCTGACCCTTAGGCATAGGGGTGGTATTGAGATCTGCCACTTGTGACTAGGTACCCCAGAGTCCCTTATCCACTACAGTAAGCCTCCGCCTATTGTCAAAGCATCTTCTTTAATGAGGGTTCTTTGTGTGTGAGGATAAGTACTGATTTTGTAACTAGATATTATATTGGTTTCAGATATATAGGTATTCCTGTAGGATCTGTGTCTTATCCAACCATAGGTAGTTATCTAGGTCTATAGTACCATGTATGAATTCCGTCCTACTGGACGGGCTTAAATCTAACTAGACAGCTGTTGGTTATTCTTAAGACAAAAGTGCCACTATTACATGACAGGGAACCTCCTTCAGCCAATGACCTTTAAGGGGCTGGGCCAGGTTGGGATGTGACCTAAAGAAAAACCACCAGCCTGCCCAGCTCTCACTCTCTCTTGTTCCTGTGCTCCACACACTTTGAGGTTGGACTTCCCATTCTTGTTTCCTGAGTTTTTTCCTTACAATAAAGAATAATATTGGGAACTTTTGGAGTTATCTTGGAATTATTTGACTTGTGTTCCTCCCATCCCATATGTGTTCAGCTACAATTACACTTTTTGACAAAGGAGAAAAAAAAAAAACTTCAGGTTTTAAATGTTGGCAGTTTCACTGCTTAGCATTTCTGAGTTGCGTATCCTATCCTTGGGTGCCGAGCAGCAGCCCCTGGATTTTATGATTGGGGTCAGCAGTTTCTCCAGAGGATTAAGTGTCAGAAGCACAGCTGAGTGGCAGATGTAGGAAGCTCATTGGAACCTGTGTCATTCTGAGCTGCAAAGTGTGCGAGGAGTATGTGAAGGGTGTGTGCGTGCATGTGTGTGTGTGTGTGTGTGTGTGTGTGTGTGTGTGTGTGTGTGTGTTTGTGTGTGTGCGCACATGCACGTGTGCATTTGCATGCTGCAGTAAGAGGAAAGGCTGACGGGTGTAGTATCTGATACACAGGGTGGTAATGTTATTGATAATGATAATGTCAGTGTATGTACTGAGTACATCCTATGTGTCAGAAGCAATTTTACGCTCTTTTGCCCTAACCGTAGCAAATGTTCTAGTACACAGGCAGTGTATATTCTATAGATGAAGAAACTGAGACCGGCTAGGAACTATAAATGGTCATAATATACTTGTCAAGAATTAAACTTTGCTCCAAGGTCTGAAATCTCATTCTTTTTCTTAATGCTGTGATCAAAACAATATTCTAGAAAGATAAATTTAATTAGAGAAGTCAATTAACTTCAGACATGAGATTTGATTTTTTTTAAAAAAAAATTAAACATAAAGTATTCTCGTGATGAGCTGATCAGATTGAGCATCAGCAAACCAGAGTGGTCAAGAAGTCAGGATGCATAGCATAGCTCTGTAGGTTCAAATCCCAGCTCAACTGCTGATCTTTTGTGAGACTTAGTGCAAGTTAATCAGCTTCTCTGGGTCTCATTTTAAACCTTTGGATCATAGACACTTACCTCCCAGAGTCACTGTGAGAATTAGTCAGTTCATACCCATAAATGGGATTTTGCATTTAGTAAGCACTTAGGGAATCTTACTTTTATAATGATTAAAATATTGGCCAAACATGACATTCATCAATAAGTTCTTTTCATTCAAAATTCTTTAGGACTACATGTAGATTTCCGAATTCTTGCAACACTTCCTTTGATAGACCGAAATGCTGTCAAGTGTCAGCTGTCATATCACCAACATCTTGTATGAAGTCACACGTGGGGGGGTGATTTCTTGGTAGAGGCGCTTCTCAGCAACAGAGAAAATGACTAAACACCTGTGTGATCTACGCAGCATTTCAGACTCATGGCTTGGCAGCAACTTTTTTTTCTGACTATGAGGTTCCTTTCCTCAGACCGCAGGGACCTAAATTTGTGCTTCGAGAAGGCAACGGTCAGAGGCAAGTGGATCTATCTTGCTCTGAAACTCTCATTGCATGTGTGAGTATGTTTACCATAGTTGCCCAGGGAATCACATTATCCAAGGTGGGCTGGTTTCTGTTTTCACTACAGAGAAAAGGACCGGCTGGGTCTGGTACCTTTTCAAGGCAGGTAGAGGAAGCTTCCTTGCCAATGAGATGAAGGAGTTGGGCCAGACAGCCCTGCTTGCTCCAATTTTCCGCAGCTTCAGACTCTGCTTTTTGGGTAATGTTTGTTTTCAAGGGTTTTGGAGAAATTGAATCTTAACATCCTTATTTGACATTTCAGTTTGTACTGTTATGTCCACAAAGAGCAAGTTCTTACGTGCCTAAGGCTTTACAACTAATGCCATGTTCTCACATATATGCCTTTTGATATATGCATAGAAATGATCAAGGAATTTTGTAGAAGAGGTAAGTGATTTGCCCAAAGTCACACAGTTTATAGGAAGCATGGCCAAGTTTACAAATCTGCCAACTGTTGGAGCAGTGTTGAAGCTTTTAACCCAATATGCAGATATGATGACATTATAAGGACTCCGTTCATTCCGTCATTGAATGGTCCAACATTGGTCCTCTTAGCTCTGGTTGGATCCTGCGACCAACCTTCAACCAATCATTGCAGCCAGGGAAGTATAAAACTCATGACCGTCTAGACCTTGCCATAGCTTCCTCCTGCTGGGGGTTTCCCCACTTCCCCAAACCATGTAGCTTATAATGGGAGATGAAAAATAAGGGGTAGTCATAGGTGAAGAGAGAGTAAACGATATATGGATAAAGCAAGAAATGTCCCAGTGTGTATGGAGAAAGTGTGTAAGGGTGAGTGCTTGCCCTGGCACAACTGCGGAAGGCCGAGGATAACCTTCGGGAGGTGGTTCTTACCTCCACCCTATTGCTGGAAGAGCCTCTCACAGCTTCTGCCTCGATGCCAGCTCCTGGCTAGCTGGCCCTCGAGCTGTTGGCTTGTCACCTCTTGCCACCTCTGTCTTGAAGCAGGAGTGACAGGAAGACAGCTGCGCAACACTGTATCTGGCTTTTCAAGCGCAAATTCTGAGAATTTAATTCAGGTCATCCGGCTTACACAGCAAGCACGGTAATCCACTGAACCATCTTGCTGACTCTAATATATATATACATACATATATATATATATATATATATATATATATGTAAAATATGTGTTTCTCCCCCCCCCATAGAACCTGACTATTTAGCATAAGCTGGCCTGGAATCCAAGAACATTTTGTCTTCCTCTCTTGAGTGCTGGGACTACAGATGTGCCCCGCGACACATGGAGAAGAGTAAATTGTTTCAAATGGCTTACTTTCTTTATCTTAATTGAATTTCATTTTTTATGAACATATGTTCCATCAGTTCCTAGCTCCAGGGTGTTTAAGGAAACAAATAAGCAAACAACAACAAAACTCAACGCTTACAAGCGTGGAGGGTTCTGGAAATCTATGTCCATCCAATGCCTTTGGATCTCAGCTCAAAGAGAGAAGCTCATTTTCAGGGGAGATATAAAATAAGAATTTGGAGTTCCCCCAAGAAGGTGGAACATACCCCACAGACATTTCTTGTGTTGGTGCCTTCTGTGCAGGGTGGAGCACAGTAAGGAGAGGTGGCTGGGTAGACCACCCTGCCCGGTTCAGCAGTTAGGTTATATTGTCTAGCTGTTTGGTACTTAAAACAATTATGATAATTTTTAATTTTTGAAATTAACAGAATTACATAATTTCCCCTTTCCTTCCCCCCCCCCCCGACTCCTCTTATGCACTTTCTTGTACTCTCTAAAATCCATGGCCTCTTTTTCTTTAATCATTGTTAGATATATATATATATTTCTAAAAATATAAACACAACTTGCTCACTCCTTATGACGTTACATGTATGTATATGATTTTTGACCGGCGACCCCAAGCTTTGCAACCACAGCACATTCTACTTTCCGGGAATGTATTGTTCCAATATCCTTTGGCTTGGAGGAGTCAGTTAAAGGGCTGTTTTTTTGTTTTAAAAACTTTTTGGATTATAGTGTGTTGACCACAACTTTCTCTTCAGTTGTCATGGCAACTTTCACATGGCAAGAACTTGATGTTAGCCTAGAAGTTTGACAAGCAGATGACTTCCAGGCAGAAGGGCTGATTTAAGATGTTTGGAGCAGGACACAGGGGTTTTACTGTACTCTAAAGCAGGTTACATAACTCTCAGCCGTGGAGTGTTTTGTCAAATCCCTGTCTCTACAAGGAACCACTCAACATTCTGCACATTTAGCTGACCAGCAGCCTGGCTTGGGAGTGGGGTGAGAACGGTCCTTGAGCAGGGTTCAGGTTTGCTCTCACGTCATGTGATTCTTAGCCTACCTTCCAGCTGAGCTCTCTTCAAACACTGGTCTACCCCATGGCTTACCCTTTGACCCAAGCTTGGCTCCCACGTGCTGTTGGAGCTGCTGTCAGCAGAGTTCATTCTCTCTCTCTCTCTCTCTCTCTCTCTCTCTCTCTCTCTCTGTGTGTGTGTGGTGTGTGAGTGTGTGGTGCTGTGTGTTTCAACTCCTGATGTGCTCAGGAAGATGTTCCTAGCAAATTTAGGATTACAGCTGGTTTCTCTTCATCTAGAGGATCTTCCTTCAAGCTGACCTTTGGAGGGGTGAGTCTGCTTTTGCAACGAGGATTTTTTTTTTCATTTTTATTGTTGCTGTGCTTTCCTGGGAAGTCACTGGTGGGTCTATTCTTGAAATTAAAGCCCATTTCTCAAAGTCACTGTACAAAGGAAGAACATTTTGTGAAAAAAAATGAGGGTGTAATTCACAAGCTGCACAGTCTACCCATGGCAAGCATATAACTCAATTCGTTTGAAAGCAAATTATAGAGCTGTACAGTGTAATTAATCACAAGATATTAGAACAATTATAATATCCACAAAGGAGGCTTGTTTATGGTTACTTTCTAACCCCGCCCATGGCCTGAAGCAACGAAGAAATAGATTGTGTCCCTAGTCTGCTTAGTTTTACTAAGAAACCCTGTAATGTCTTCTGGGAGTTTCAAATGGCCACTCACTTGAATGGAAAGAAAAGTAGGAAGAAAAGAAAGGAGGGAGTGAGGAAGGAATGGAAGGAGAGAGGAATAGAGGGAGAGGAAAATGTGACCCCCTCCCAGTTGTGAATAGCAGACTGACTCCTTATATAAAACGATTCAAAGCCTAAGGAAAAGCATTTCTTAAAAACGTGATTTGTAACAGGAAAGTCCCACTATTTATAAAATAGAACATATTGTTTGTTTTAATGGTCTCTGTCTCTGTGTGCGTACGTGTGTGCCTATCTGTATGTAGGTGTGAAAGCGAGTGTGGGCAGAGGAGAGAAGACCCAGGCCATCGTGTTTTCTGAGACATGGTCTCTGCTCTGAAATTCATCAACTGGGTTACACTGGCTTGCTATCTAGGCCCAGTAATGAACCTGTCTGCTCCCCCAGGGCTGGGATTGCAAACTTCTGGGGCTGTGCACACTTTTTTTTTGAATATGGGTGCTTGGGATCCTGTTTTACTACCTTATAGATGATAAATATTTGTTCTAGAAGCGACAGGAAAACCACTCATCATCTTACTATGGAGAAATCTCCTGTGTCTCGGTTCATTTTTGTGACATTAAAAGTTTCCAAGCTCTCACTTGCCTTCCCCCTTCCCCAGCAAGGAGCTGTTTCTGACAGCTTCTCCTTTAGGCGTTCGGTTTTTCCCCAGGTGCCAGTGTGTGTCATGGGCTCAGTGACTACAAGGAATGTGCCTGCTCCGAGGATTAGTGGAAACATGTCATACCTCTTCTGGCCGGAGGGCACACCTGACACACTTCATTAGCTAACACAGGCGCACAGAGCTATCCGGCTGTGACAACAGGGAATGAGATGAGGCTCTGCACAGTATTTCCAAACACTAGAATTTCAATGTTTATAGTTCTTCCTTCCCCTCTACATTATAGTTTCCTATTATAAAAAGATTATTTCTAAATAAGCACGTGAAAGAATGCTCAAGATCTTTCATGAGTGGAAAAATGTAAATTGGAACAAAGATGAGATTCCATTTCACCAGCATTAGAATGGCCGTTATTTAAAAGAACAAGGCAGGAATAGCAGTTGCTGAATACTAGGTAGAGAGATGGGAACTCTGTGCCCTGCTGATGGGCACAGACAAAGGTGTGGCAGCTATTAAAGCAGCATGGCGGCTCTCCCAACAATTAAGTAAGATAGATGATCACATGACCACATCCAAGCAAGGTCTGGAAGAGATTCTTGTAAACCATATTTACAGTAGCCTCAGCCATCAGTGACGAACCAGAAGAAAAAACCCAGATAGTCCGTGATAGGTAAATGGACAAACGAAATACGGTGTGTCCACACTGGGGAACAGGTCTCAGCTTTAAAAAGGGACTGGGCGTTCTCTTTAGTCTTGAAGTATGATAATAAGTGAAAAAGTCAGCCACAAAGCATAATTTACAATACATAAATAATCTCTAGATCAGCAGGCAGAAAGGGAAGGGGTGGGAAGTGTGGGCACAAGCCGGGGTGATTATGGGGAGCGGTTTATCATTCACATGGCTTAGGATGCTGGCGAAGATGTAAGGTGACTTTTTTTTGTTTGCTTATTTACTTATTTGTAATTTTAAAGTTAGCACACAGCAAGAAAATTTTATTATTTACCTCTCAGTAGGAACAAAATTCTGCCTTTCCAAAACATCGCCAATGCTATTTGCTCGATGAAATCATTTCTAGGTGATTACTTCAAGCTTGAAGTTGACAAACTTCAAACCCAAACTTCATGCTTCATAATAAATAGAATTTATTTAGTTCTCTTGATAATAAGGCATAAAACTGTAAAAACCAGAAATGAGAAAGAGCTTACTAACAACTTATAATAAGTCTGACGAGATCTATTTGTTTATGATGACCTAAAACAAACTATTTTACAAAAATCTTAGCATATAAAGTGATGGGCTTCTTTAGGGTTTTTTTTTCATACTTAGATGTCAATTATACTTTGCTTTTAGTCTTCCCTATCCTACTTCACTTTCTATTGCCATTGTAAGCACCAATGCCAAAAGCAATTTGGGCCAGAAGGGGTTTACCTGGCTTATGTGTCCATCACATAACAGCCCATCACTGAAAGAAGCCAAGGCCACAGAAGAATGCTGCTTACTGGCTTGCTCTTCAGGCTCACATTAGGGGTGACACTGCCCCTCCCCCATCAATCATTAGCCAAGGAAATGCTTCACAGACTTGCCTATAGGCCAATCTGATGTTTGATTTGTTGTCACATGTATCCATTCATTCTCCCCTCTTATAGTTCCCTCTTTTCCTCATACACATACACATGTAAGTTTAAATGAAGGTTCTGCATATGAGAGAAAATATGTAGTGTTTCATTTTTGTTTGCTTGTTTTCGCTTTGTTTTATTAAACAGTATTTCGTTTTTATTTTTATTTGTTGTGTGTGTATGTGCATGTGTCTGAGGAGGCCAGAAGAGGGTGTTGAGTCCCGAGAAGATGGAATTACAGGGAGCCTGAAACACAACCCAGGTCCTCCAGAAGAGCTCTGAGTGCTCTTAATTGTGTAGCCATCTCTCCAGCCCCCCTTTTGTGTTTCTTGAAACAGAGTCTTACATTGTATCCCAGTCTAACCTTGAATTTGCAACGTCGCCACTGCTTACTGCTTCAGCCTCCAGGATGCCAGGATTATGATGTAAACCATCAAGCTTAGATTGACAGTAGGTTTGGTTACTACAGGCAACAAATGGCATGTGGGCAACCAGTGTAGACTGCTCTGCCTGTTCTGTTCTTAGTGGGCATGTGGCTTTTTATACATCACAGTTAGCAGGCTTCAGCCTGGTATTCATATTGGCATTTAACTTTATTAATAATAAGTCTTTCTGATGGAATGATTCATTCATATGGTTAAAAACTAAACAAGGAGAATCAGGAGAAAAGTATCTAAAGGCGGTCATGGAAAATTCTACTTCATTCTAGTCTCCCACCTACTCATTCATTGCCTCCCAGGCAACTATTACAATTAACTTCCTGTGTATCCTGCTGGGGAAAAAAGGAATTCATATGCATAGACTATCTCCTCCCCATTCATAGCTATGCAACGAGTCTTCAAAACTCATTACATCTAGCAAAGCTCAATGTAGACACAAGTTTCTGTCCTGCCAGGTCCCACAGCCGTTTGGTCCCAAAGAAACACACAGAGGATTATATTAATTATAAACTGTTTGGCCTGTTGGTTCAGGTTTATTATGAACTAACTCTTACAATTTTAATTAGCCCATAATTCTTGTCTATGTTTAGCCATGTGGCTTGGTACCTTTTATCAGTGAGGTGTTCTCATCTTGCTTCCTCTGGTTTGGCTGGTGACTGCAGACTGAGCCTTTTCTCTTCCCAGAATTCTCCTAGTCTGGGGGTTCCCTGTATACTTCCTGCCTGACTACTGGCCAATCAGCATTTTATTAAACCAACATGAGTGACAAATCTTTACAGGGTACAAGAACATTATCTCAGAGCAACACAAACCCCATAACCATGAGACAACCCTGCAACTTCCCTTCATCTCCCAGGAACCAACAGTCTCCAGTCTCTAGGGCGTGACTACTCTAGAGACCTCCTATGAATACCGTATGCTATATCTATGATTTTGTAACTGGTTTATTTCCTTTAGCTTAATGGCATCAAAACTTACCTACACTGTAGCATGGGCCACAGTTCCTTTCCTTTTGTAAGGCCGAATAACATTCCATTTGCTTATCTGTCCACTCATGGGCACTGGGTCCTCCTGTGTTTGGATTATTGATAACAATGCTTCTACAAACATTGCGTACAAATATTTCATTGGGAATCCTCTTGGAATTCTTTTAGGTGTATGCATATCCAGAAATAGAATTGCTAGATCCTATGGTAAAATCCTATTTAAATGTTTTAAATGCCATATTGGCTTCATAGTGGTTGTGCCATTTTGCATTTTTACCAGCAGTACACAAAGGTTCCTGTTTTTCCACATCCTTGTCGGCACTTATTTTTGGAGTCTTTGTTGGGGCGATCTTAAGGGTGTGTGTGTGATACTGTCTCATTCCAGCTCTGATTTCCATTTCTCCAATGAGCAATGTGGTGATGCCATTGGTCATTAGCAGATCTTTGGAAGATGTTGGTTCAAGTCTTGCATTTGTTTTAAGTCAAAAGTAGCTTTTTTTGTGTGGTTGCAGAAGTTCTTCGCTCTTGGCATCGTTACCCATTGTTAGATACATAAACTGCATGTGTGTTCTTCGTGCCTTTGCTCCCTGTTGGTTGTGTCCTTTGATGCACAGATCCTAAATGTCAGTGTAGCTTAGTTTAGCTACTTTGGTTGCCCGTGCTTTGCTATTATATTCAGGAAGTCGTTGTTAATTTTGTGGGATAGAACTTCCCTGTTTCCTTTTGAGCAACTTTTAGTTTCATGACTTATATTTTGGTGTTTGGTGCGTTTTGAATTAATGATTAAATGGTACAGATTAGGTCTCCAGCACTGCCTTCAGCTAACTTTAGCCACTCATCTACAGAGTCTTTACATTTCAAGAACTGTAGTGTGTCTTGCTTGAATGTAGCTATATTCCTTCATGAACCTGCTTATATGTTTGTTAACATTTGCTTTTTATAAATATTCTACTCTTTGAATTTAAGAAACATTTCTATACAGACATGTTTTATTTGTGATAATTTTGACATCTAAAGTCCTTAGGGAGATGGATTTGTAAATTTTTGGGTTTAGTTTCTGTGGACTCTTAAGGTGGCCTGTTATTGTGTGTTCTTAATTTTTTTTAATAATGCATTCACATTTTACTTACAAGCAGTAACTGAGTGTTTACCATCTCTAGGATATATATAGATACTGGGTATAAAATCCTTCCTGAATGGATTTTGTGAGACAGAAAGAAAATATGTTAAATATACAATAAGGTAGCTATTGACCACTGAACGTGGCGTGCTGTATTAGAGCTTCTTGAGGTGCTGGCTAGGATAAAAGATGCAGGGATTGAACTTGGGGCTTCATGCTTACAATGCAAGCACTTTACTAACTGCACTATCTCCCTCTCCCACAAAAATCTATTAATATTTAAACAAAACATGGTACATACCTACAATGGATTATTAAACCTTAAGAAGAAATGTTGATATATGTAAAATATAGTTGAAACTTGATCTTGTGACATAATTAAATACACTAAGAGCACTTAAAAAAAACCCTTATAAATTAGTTGTGAGGTACTACAGTAATGAGTTCAGAGGAGAATGTTGGTTGCCAGAAGTTGGGGGAGAATAATGAGGAGCTGCTGTTTAGTGGGTACAGGGGGCTGTCAGCCCAGGGTAAGTTCTACAGGCAGGCTGTTTTACGGTGAGAATGTTCCAGCATGACTGTTGGTGCACTAAAATTATTGTCACGGGAAAGCTGGTGCTATGTGTCTGGGTCACAACCAAGATTTAGAAGGCTAAACAAGAATGAGGGAGAGGCATGGGAGATAGAGAGTTTGAGGCCATTTTAGAAGGTTCTTTAGTGAGGGAGAAAGATGGCAATAGAAGAGAGGCTACAAGTTTGTTTTTATCCTAGGCTGCCTGTTCTGATGTACAAGGAATTTTTATCTACTCATACAATGTTCCCTGTAAGAAAGAAGCATTAGGGAGGTCGAGGCAGAAATTGCTAGGCAGGTGAGTTTTGCACTTACATAATGGGATCATGATTTCATTTTAAGCACCATTGCCTTAGGTGCTAATGGTGCTTAAAATAAAAAACATTAGCTTGTTTTCTTTGCTATTTAGTGTTGAATACATGTCAGATGCAGTTATTAGTATTTACTACTAGGAAAAGCAAAAGTTAAATTTTTATATTATTTTTAATTTTAGAAGTTACTTCAGAAATATTAGGTGCTTTTGTAGGAGGTTGGCAGAGCTGATAGCTGTAGGAGAGGACTGTTGTCCACGGCCTTATGTTTCTATTGATTCCTGGGTCTTAAGAGGAATTGAGAAAAGTGGGAACTTTTACCTTCAAGATTGATTTGGTTGCATTTGGCTGTGTATGAAAACATAAAGAAAATGACTGTTTTTGAAAAACAAGAGTTGCTTGTGCATGAGGAAAAAACTGTTTCGAAGGAGGTGGGGAACCTAGGTCAATTTTCTAGACCATTTTTTTTTTAACCTTGGATCACACAGAAAAAATAAAATTTACTTGAGATTTAAAAGTGCCAAGTTAACTGTCCTCAGAGAAAAAGGGCTGGGTTTTGTGAATTCCCATTTTGTGTGACCAAAATGGAGTCTTTATGCAATCTTAATTAGGTTTATATAACTGGACAGTTTACAGGTATGTATGTTATATTTAGGTCCAACTCATTTTCTTTGAGCTGCAGAGTCTCTGCCCCCTTGTGGCCTTCGTGAGGGGTGTTTGGTTGCTTTTCTTTGGTATGTTTATTTGTTGTTGTTGTTTTTTTTTTTAATCGCAGGGTTTTGAACTGAAGTCTTGTTTGATAATGTGTGGTCTCCTGACTGCAGGTAATAGAGCAATCATTCTGCAGGCATTTGTTTAGGTGAAAAGGCGGGGCGCCAGCCTGGAAATGAAATAAGTGTTCAGAATTCACTCAGACAACAGAAGACACCGTGGCAATCGGGCATGCCTCGTGTCTGTCCCTTCTTCATGTCTCTCTCCTTGAGGGCAGTGTGATGGTAAAACACTGGGGGAAATACAATGAAGGAAACAAAGACCGCCTATAACCCAGTCACCCACAGGCTCCACACAGTGGGCGTTAATGCTTCCTGTAATTTCTGATGGTGGGAGGTATTCTTACACTTTTACATCAAGTACCTTAAACACTAAGTACATTCAGGTCAAGACAAAGATGATGAACCCAACCCAACCCTCAGCCTCCAGGCTAAGAACTGGCTCACATTTCAAAAGTCCCAGAGACTAGCGTTCTGCGGTAATCATGTAAAATTCAAATTTCCGGATCTGGAAAGGATGTTTTATTGAAGCAGTCAATCATGTTCATGTATGCGTCATCAGCACACAGTACACAATGACAGGTGAAATCAAAAGTGCTCACTGCCTCCCTTTATTAGAAAAGTTATCACTTTTGATGTAGAATAAGCAATATTTTGTAAAAATACAATATCAATATTATTTTCAAATAGTCACCTTAAAAATTCTTATGGGTTTGGAGATGTAGCTTAGTGTTAGAGTGTGTCACTAGTTTATTAGACCCCAGAAACACACACACACACACACACACACACACACACACGAGTGGGAGAGAGAGATATGCACATATACACTAATTGCTGTATTTTCAAATTTATTTAATTTTTCCCTTTTTAATTTTGGTAAAATAAGCAAATTGTTACAGCGATAGTGTAATTTCACTTCAGCAGTGAAAACAGAAATAGTACATGCTGAAGATAAATTTCACACCTACTCTATGCTAGCTCTGTTTAACTATTTTTGGATGTGTAAGTAATGTTTACTGGGTACATACCAGGACTCCGTGGGTATTGAGGAACTCTGGGAAACTGTTTTCTTTTCCACATTCTTTCCTGGCTGTTTCCAGCCTCACGAGCTGCTGCTTCTTCAGACAGGGGCGCTGGCCTTCCCCATTCTCCTCTCTGACTGTTGCCGTCACGGCCTTCTTCCGGTTGACCCCACGTGGCAAACACCCTGGGAAGACAAACTCAAAGTTCTACAGCACACCTCTGAGGACCGAGGTGACCACCATCCACTTTTCTTGCCACAGGGTGGAGGCTCAACCAGTCACACCGAGCAGTCTGGGGCCGTCTGGCTTTGCTGGAAGTGGGGGATGGGGGCAGAGGGGTTGGTGCTCACACCCTTGCAGAAGAAGGCTGGGTACTTGTTTCTGCAGAAATTACCGGGAACGTTGATGCCCGCACACGTGGCCCTGCAGTGCCTGTCTGACCTCAGTGACGCAGGAAGTGGCCCTGCTCTTCTGGCCATCTTTCCACCACCCTGACTCTTTTCCGACACCAGGACAATGTGCAGTCCCACTCCCACGGTGCGAGTGGATAAGCTTTTTGAGTATCACCAACATTGGTTTTATTATTGCTTATTTAAGAAAAATAAAAGCGAATTGTCGCCCTCCAAATTTGGTGGTGTCTCACTGTGGCTAGGATTTGTGGTTTTGCAATAACCGTGGGTTGAGTAGGCACCGATCAGCAGTAGGTGTCTTTTGCAGACAGCCATCCATTCTAATTCTCCGCTCCCACCCTTTTTGGTAGGGTTACCCATCTTTGCATTGTTGGGCTATAAATTTGTGATATATGCTAGATAAATTATCTTGCCATAAGTGTGACTGGAAGTATTTTTTCCATCCTATGGGTTGCTTTAATGTTATACTTTGATGTGTGAACCGTTTTAATTTTAATGAAGTTCAATTAATTCACTTTTCTTCTGTCGTGAGGCTTCTGGAATTGTACCTGAGGAATTACCCCTTAATCCAGCGTTGTGGGGATTTATGCCCATGTTTTCTTCTAGGAGTTTTATAGTTTCAATTTTTACTTGTATTTCTGTATTTTTTTGAGCAAGCTTTTTTTTATTTGCAGGAGATTGAGACATATACATTTATAAATGAAATTAGAAAAAGAATAAAATTAAAAGTCACATTGAAGGAAAATATTGATCCATACTCAGTTTCTCTTCTTCTAGCTAAAAAGACCATTTAAAAATAAATTTATAGTCACAGTGAGCTAATAGATTTAAAATTCCTAAAATGTCTTGCTTCAAAGTTTGTTTTCTATAAGACTAGACATTTCAATGTATTATCACTGAACTGAAATTCAGAAAGATATTTTAAAATGAAGTTTTTTCTTTATACAATCTGGTGAAGGAATTGGCAGAGGCTGCTGTCTGAGGACATTTATGAGACAGAGCACGGCATTCTTATTTTCATAAGAGTAGTGGTCATAAGAAATGCATGGCGTATTTTCCTAGCTACTAAGGAAAGTTCTAGGATAAGGTTTCTGTCTTAACCTTTTCTGCGGTCCCATGCCCATGCTGGTGGTTTTAGCCGATACAAAGAGTAACGTGCCCAGTTCTAAAGAGTGCACACACCTGCTCAGCGATACATGGTCTCAACCAGAACAACCAGCTGCAGCAACATGCCTTCATGTTTACGTGTAGAACCGACAGCAATTCTCCTAAAGCCAGAAACAGGTTTCTGATGGGCAGAATGCATTTACAGCAGGCAGCAAATACTGGTCCAGTTTAACGTTTGTGATTGAGCACCATGTTCCTTTTTCTCCCCAGCGTATCACTGGACTGATTCTGATTGTGCGGGTCTGTAGAACATCCTCTGAAGGTGCTGTGGGGTGAACTCCATCCATACTGTGAAGTCTCATAAGAAGCATTTTCTCCCTGGAGGCTGTGGTGTCCAATCATCATGCTGTAGTAGACATAAGTATGAACCTGAGTTTCTTTTCGTTTACCACATCAAATTTGGCTTTGAAATGAACTAGGCTGTGGTTACATAGCAGCTGACTTTGGAGAGGGCTGTTTTCTCCCCTAGTTCTCACTCTTCACTTACTTACCGTCTTCCTCTCTCCTCTCTCTCTTCACACCTCTTCCGGCTTACCGTACCCAATTACTACTCCGTCTTCTTCCCCAGGAGACTCTTCCTTCACTCACCTGCTTCTACACATAAACCGAGCCTTCTCTTTTCTCCGACCACCTGCTCACTATGCACGCAGGAGACCAATTATAACCCAGAGGAAAATCCCCTTGGAACAGCTGATTTGGAGCATGGATTTGGAGACTTATCTTCTGTCTGCATCACAGGGTCATGCCAGGGTCATCCCTTGAACAAATGTCTCTTTGGCTCCTCCCAAGCTTATTCTGAAATGTGCAAACGGGGCCCTCTTCTTTTGGCTGATGAAGCTATTGGGCAGAAGGAGCCTGTCTGGCATTCTAATCAGGCTCTGAAGTCAGACACACAGCAACCGCTGCAGAGTTTGCTTGTGTTCCGCAAGCCTCCCCGAGGACTCGCGATTGATTTCCTCTAAACCTAAAAATGATCTTCTAAAGAACAGGGCGGTACTTCTGACTTCTGAATGGACCGATCCCGCAGGGGCGTCGCAGAAATGAAGATCCTGGTTCAGGCACTCTACATTCCTACCAAGCTCTCTACTGACCTGATGCTGTGGTCCACAGAAGTGCTTTAGTATCCCATCCAGGGTACCACCAGCCTGGAAACAGGTCCGAGTTATTTCTGAAAGCCCAAGGATCTCCTCTGTGCAACTCTCTGACACAGAAGAGTATGCCTTCATGTTTGTCCCCTCTTCATAGGTCAGCTCTTTCCAGCACACTGAATGGCACTTGTCTCCATATTGGTCTCCTAGACTATGAACACACAGGGGTAGAGACTTCACTCTCAAATCATTTTTTTTTTAAAATGTGAGGAGCTAGAATATCACCTGGAAAGAACAGTAGGCATTTGATAAATATTTACTGAATGCCCCTTTCCTCCCCAGCTCCCACATAGGCTCATGTAATTGAAGGTTTGGTCTCTAGTCGATGGAAATATTTGAGAAGGATTAGGTGATGTGGCCTTGGTGGAAGAGGTGTGTCACTAGAAGTGAGTTTTAATGTTTCACAAACCTCCTGAGATCTACTGCTCTCTCTCTCTCTCTCTCTCTCTCTCTCTCTCTCTCTCTCTCTCTCTGCTTTGTGGTTATAGATAAAGGTGTGAGCTGTCAGTTGCTCCTTTACTCTAGCATCATGGATCCTAAGACTCTCAAATTGTAAGCTAAATTAAATGCTTTCTCTATGTTTCCTTGGTCATGATGTTTTATCACAATGATAGAAATGTAGCTAACATACTCACAGATAAAATTAATAAAGTTAAAACCATCTTTCCCAAACATCAGACATAGACTAGAAGGCATAACAACAAATGCGGAGACCTAGCTGTCACTTATGGAGATCTGAGCTCTGGCTGGTTGAACTGCACACTTTCCATGTATAGTGAAATCCTTGCCTCCAATACCTGTGAATGTGTCCTTATTTGGCAACAGCGTCATTGTAAATCTTATCAGTTAAGATGGTCATATGGATTAAGACAGATCCTTCACCCAGTCTGACTACTATCTTTGATAAATTGGGATAAGTTTTTGAGATTATATCTTATATAACTTAGACTGGCCTTCGACTCATGATGTAGTCGAGGAAAATGCTGAATTCCTGATCCTCCTTCTTCCACTTTCTGAGCACTAATATTATAGGGATAGTATCACTATGCCTGTTTGTGTCTTTATATGAGGGTGTAGTTTAGAGATCCTATTGCTGTAATAAAACACCAAAACCAGAATCTCCTTGGGGAGGAGAGCATGTATTTCACTTGAAAACCATCAGTTTTTCACAGTTCATTAGTGAGGGAAGTCAAGGCAGGGACTCAAGCAGGACAATAACCTGAAGGCAAGAACTGATACAAAGCCCACAGAGGGATGTTGCTTACTGGCTTGCTCCTTATGGCTTGCTCAGTCTACATTCTTACAGAACCCAAGACCATCCGCCCAAGGGTGTCCTCATAAAAGTTGGATTGAGACATCTGCAAGCCAGTGATACCTGGGCTCTCAGAAGCTGGAATAGGTTAAGACACTTCTCTCCTGGAGACGGAGAGGGAGCATGAATCTGCCAAGCTTGAGTTTGAATCTCTAGTCTCCGATGTTTGAGAGAAACGTTCTGTGATTTCAAAGCCACCTGTTGGGTGTATTGTGTTACAGTAGCACTAGGTGGTACAGCCTCAAGCAAAAAGAAAAGAATTACTTACTGGTCCAGGCATCAAAGAGCACACCAGGCAGCTCGGAAAAGAGCAGCTGCTTACAAGCATGACATAGCCAGGGGCTGTCACTCAAACAGAGTGGGGGCAGTGCTGAAATTCTGCTCTAGTATTTTCTTTATTATTTGGAGTAGAAAAGTATTGTGTGAGTTTGGTAAGAGGGCCTTCTTGCGTACTTGGATAGCACCAGCTGTCGACAGGGTCCCCAAATATATCCTAAGTGCTTCTGACTCTCTGCTTATCCTCTGACACCACCTTCTCCCAAGAGACTGCTATCAAGTTTGGGACAATATTCCAATATTCTTCCATACAGTCTTTTTCCGTATCAACCTTAGAACAGATGAAAAAATTATGGCTCAGATTACACGTGACACCTTTGCCGAAAACTCTTCAAGCATAGCCATTATTGAAGAACTCGGGAGGCTGAGGTAGGAAGATTGGTATAACCTTAACGGCAACCTGGGCTACATAGTGAGAGGAAAGTCAGGCATGACTTTCAGAAAAACATAACAAAAGCCAAACAAACAAGTAAGCGCCCCTGCGTCCAAAAAGGACTCTTCAGTAACCATTTCCCTGCATGTTGCATGGTCCTTGTGAGCTTCCGCCCTTCCTGTCAGTGGGATGCTGAGTTCCAGCCCAGGCTTTTGCAGTTCCTCTGTAGAGTGCTTGTCCTAGGGCCTCTACATCTTGCTAGTCCCTCGGCCCCTTGATTCCCCCTTTCTGGTCTCAGCGTCAATGTCACGGGGCACCGTCTTTGGCACACCTCTTTGGCCCCGCCTGAGTTAGGTCCCCGCATTGCATTTTTTTGTGGGACTCTGTTACTTTCTACTTCATGATTTGCCCATTATCGGCAGGTATTTTCTTAACAGCCTATCTCTGACTAGATTGTAAATGCAAGGAAGGCAAAAACTACTTCTATTTTATGTCCCACTGTAGCCTGACTTAAATAAGGATCCAAAATCAGAGCTTGTGATCAATGTGTACTTGTTGACTGGATAAATGGAAACTTGTTTGGCCAAGGACTTTAGAGATGCAGTAATTATTCAATCAGCTGCTCTGTTTCCAGGAACGTAACTAAAGAAGTAACTGCAGATATATGTCAAGACACTGTAACTTAGAGAACTGAAAAAAACTGTAGCAATATATTGGCGGTAAAAATAAATGTTTAAAAAGGATGGGCATAATAAACTATGGTTTAAACTTTCAAAGTGAGAGACTTCAGGCAAAAATGTTGGAGAACAACATTCAGACACACACTTTCAGCAATCATATATTTGTTATATGTCAAACTACATCATATATTTTATGTTGTTCTGTAACATGAAAAACTATACAACAAAATGTTAGTTAATTGTACTTAATAATTAATTATTAGATGTTAATTTTTTTCTATATATTTAACTTTTCCATTTATTTTTATTTAGTGTTTTATGGCAGAGGGATGAAAACCTGGCCCTTGTCCGTACTATGCAGGTGCTGCACCACTGAGTACCCCACCTCCTCTTAAGTGTGTTTTAGACACATTCTATGTAGAGGATTTTTTGAACAATTAGAAACCAAAAGGAATTCAAAGGTTTCCCAAGGAAATAAGTAGAAATTAGCTGGCATTTGGTTTGAATTTCAGACTTTCATTACTGTGAAAGAGAAAATAATTAGTAAAATAGGCAATCAGTATAGTGTTGAAATACCATGTCATCCCCATACACTGCTTGACCCTACCACCCAGGAAGTCCCATCTGTGGTTAAGTCCCAGGCCACCCATCTTCCCCATGGCTTGAAAAGTCATTCTGTATATCTTCTTATTGAGAAAATTCTTTCTTTATAGGAGAAACTCTTTTTATTTCATTTTCACCTTTACTTTTGAGTAAGAACAGAAAACAGAAGCCATAATTGAAAACCCTCTTCTCGGAGTTCCAGTACTATGCTTTGGTAGGGACCCAAATGACACATTTTACTGCACAGACAAAATACTAGGTAGGAAGAAGGGCTTTTGGTCAAATTTATGCACATATGTAAATAAGTTTTGTCATTTGAAAAATTTCAGAGGCAAAATTTTACCTAATTTTAGTCCCTTATTTTTTGAGCTTCCATTCTGTCAGGACCTCAGTGACCACTGGTTTCTCTGGAGACTTCTTCCAACCTGGGGGAGGTGAGCCATGTCTTTTCTTGATTTTTTGCTTTTGCTTGGTTACTGAATTAAGTCCAGATAGACCCTTGGTACCATCATTTGTGAGCCTGACTGGTTTATTTCCGATAGCTAGATTTAATGGGTAATTGCTAATTATCACCAAAGAGAGCAAACTAAGGATTGCATGAATAGTTTGTGTATTTGTTTCCAGCTACACATAAACACTTACATATTAAACATATATGAATTTATAAAATGTACACATTTGTAAGACTCGGTGACACTCTAACATGGAATAAGCTTTAAGTGATATCCTGATGGTAAAAAGAATTCTTGTAAAAACAAATGTGGGTTGGTTCCTGACGCTAGATTGCCCCATTAAGTGCTACTTGAAGGCCAGTCTAACCCTTCCTCTTTGACTCATCCCAAGAGTCTAATTTGAGCCCGGAGTGGTGCTCTGGTTCCTGTCTTCTGCTATTATGTATTTTTCCTTGGAGTTGAATAGGGGCTCCCATCCAGGAGAGGGAAACTATTACCAAACCAGTTCATTTGAATTCACATTTTTGGGAAAGACAAATCTTTGTAGGTCTAAATTATTTTAAGTTGTTCATGAAAGTCCAGTTACACTCAAATGATATCCACGGCTGAACAGTCTTCAATGAAAATAAATCCCAAATATGCGAGGGAGGTGGATCTAATGTTAAGTAAAATCCTTAAAATGATACTGGTGACCACTGTTCTCTGGGCAGCTACATAAGTTCTGGATGCAGCGCAAAATGAAAACGCAGGCTTTTTTGTTCTGACTATGACAAGTTTCAAGACAGTGATGGTGAAAGGCTAACCTGTGTTCCAACCTAAACCAAAGGCCCTGTGAATTGCCCAGTAACATGCCCATGGAATGGGTCCTGTTCCCAGCAAGGAACTGTCCAAATGCAACATGGTGGTGAAGATGCAGAGTCCAGAGCCTGAAGACCTGGTATAAGTTCCCAGCTTGCTGCCCACTCCCTGAGAGACTATGCGTGGACAGGTGACAGATTTTTTTCTCTGGGTACCAGCTATTCACTTGTGTGCATTGATGAATGCCATCAAATTTATAGAACACAGTGAGCATCAAGTGAAGTAATGCATAAAAGTGCTTTGAATGTGCGCCCAAGACCCTATGTACTCATTAAAAGTTCAGTGTGTGTGTGTGTGTGTGTGTGTGTGTGTGTGTGTGTGTGTGTTGCCCTACATTGCTTATAGAAGCAGCATTCATTCCCATCTTTGTGGGTCAAGAATGCCATCATTTTCCCTTCTGATTACCTAAAAGATTGTGTTTATATACAATTTTGCTTAGTTGCTCCTTCTCAATCCAAATCATTTGAGTGTAAATAATAAGAAAGGTCTTTAAGGTTTGTGACCCTGTTGTTAGGATACTCCTGACTGGGGGAGTCAAGCTTAAGGCAATAGACAGCTTGGTCTGTTTTTTGTTTCTTGCCCCATTGCCTGATCTGTGTGACCTTGGGTCTCTATGCTTTCTTTCCATTGCACAGTCTGGGTTATTAGCATAGTGCAAAGCAAAACCAAGTATTCACACACCCTGCTGTACTTTGGCAGGATATTTAGGTGCCATAGGAAAAAAAAACAGATCAAAGTGGTAATGCATCTTCAGACACCAGACCAGTGGCAAAGAGGCATCTGGCAAGCTAGCGGCAGGAGCTCCCTTTGGAAATGAACAATACTGCTGTGCACAGACTGCAGAGAACACGCCCTGATCTGGAAGATGTCCTGAGAACATCTGCCACTATGCTGAGGTGTAAAGACGGGGACAAGATCAATATGGTATCATCAACAAGCTGACCTGAATAAGTCCCTTCCCTGGGCCCTATCTTGTCACCCAACTGATAAAAGGCAGTCAATAAAAAGCACATTTCATTTAGATCTGTGTCAGAATTGATTGGGTCAGAAGCGGCCCTTCTGGTTTTCTTGGACCATGATAACACTGGGTGATGAAATAATTGTGATTGTGAAATTGAACTCTCCTAGCAGTTTATTCTTCAGACAGCCAAGTTCAGTATTTATGACTATGGCCTTGAAGCAGGAAGAATTCTGTTCACGCTGAACTAGAAAGGAATGGCCTTCCAAGAAAGGAAGCTGTGTTGGAAAGTTCATGTATCATCCAGTGACCAATGAGGAGGATGGAGTGTCCTCTTGCTTGGGTGCCAGGAAAACAAACAAAAGTGATAACACATCTCCAAACACAGGCCACTGGTGTAGAGATGGTCTGGCCAACTTGCAGAGCCAATTCATTTGGAAAGGGGCAATTCTGAATGGCTCCAGAGCTCCATGGGAACCATGGATACAGTAGCAAACTTTCTTGTTGTACTGTCTTTGGATCACCATCCCCCAAATAATGACAGGGAGACTTATAACTAATTATGAAAGCTTGGCCTTAGCTTAGGCCCTTATAACTCAAATTAACTTGCTTCTATTAATCTACATTTTGTTATATGGCTTTTACCTTTCCTCAGTATGGCATGTCCAAATTGCCCCCAGCCTGCTGGCAAACTGCATGCCTAGATTCCTCCTCCCAGTTTCTTTCTTTCTGCCTGGAAGTCCCTCCTACTCTCTCCTGCCTAGTTATTGGCCATTTAGCTCTTTATTAAACCAATCAGAAGGTGGCTTAGGCAGAGACACACCTTTACATTGTAAACAAATGTTCCACAAGAGATTACCTGTCTTGTTCTGTCTCTGTCTGTGCCTAGTCTGTTCCTTATGCTCCATGCCACACTCATTTGTTCTGTAAACTTACTGCCCAGAAAATACCTCTCTTCATGGCTACCTTTTGAGATCTTCAGATACCTGAAGTTGACGCTCTGAGCTGGGGTGTCTTTTCTCCAAGAAGATATTTGATACGCCCAAGGATATTGTGTTGCTGTTGTGGGAGTAGGGTGATGGCAAAGCAAAAGAGGTACTGGCATCTACTGGTTGGAAACTCAGAGTACTTCTTAATTTCCCACAGTGCACAAGGCTGTCTCCACCACAGAGAATCATTGACCCCCAATGTTGCAGCGCCGAAGCTGAGAACCACTGGATTAGACTTGTTTTCAGCCTGGTTGTCTCTAAGGATAAAAACAGGAAGTGATGTCACTCAGGTCATCAGAAAATGTTTAAGGCAAGCAAAATGGCAATGACCATGAGCTCCACCATCCCTTCCCAATCTCATTTCTTCTTCCGGTATTGCTGCTGCCTCTTGATATCAGTACAGCTATTATCCATTCTAGCTGACATCCCAGAAAGCATAGAACACTACCTCTCATTCCGTATTTCTTCAGTGAGGCTGTCTCCTCCCCTCGTGCTGTCACGCTGACTATTAACTCCTCTGTCAGCTTAGGGAAAGAGAGCTTTCTTAAATAAGCAGGGTTTTTTTGTTCCTGTTCTTAGTTGGAGAGTGCTCATGCTCTCAGGGTCTGGAGCTATGTTTTTGCTTCCCATCAGGCCAGGCTGAGCTGTGTTATAGAAGTGTCACACTCAGCAAATAGCTGACTCTGTAGGCCATGCTGTGCCTTTGAAGCTCAGTGTTGACTCTCTGCAGAATGAGACCTGTCACCCACTGGGGACAGGGCAGCTGGTGGCTTCTGTGCGGTCACCTCCCACTTCCCACTTCTTTAGGAATGAGATGCATTTGAGGGCTTCCATCCCCAGTTGTGGTGGTGAAGTCAGAAGTGAAAGAAGCTAAGTGTGAGGAGTTTTATTTGTTAAGTGAAGAAGCCAGGAGAGGAGAGGAGAGGAGAGGAGAGGAGAGGAGAGGAGAGGCGAGGCCACAGACAGGAAGTGGGGCTGAGAGGGAGATACTCATGAGGTTGAAGGAAAACCAGCAGTGGTCTGGTCTGGCAGACAAAGTGGGTATTCTGAGGAGAGGAAACTGCTCAGCCATGTTTGAAGTGGAAGAGTAGTCTCACAGTAAAGAGCGAGCAGACCCGGGCACTCGGTTGAATTTGAAAACTCAGAAAATTAAATGAGAGCCAAGACTGATGGTGCAGGATTGCAGAATTCGAGTGACTCCGAAGGCTGGTGCAACAGGTTTGCAAGTTTAAGGTCCTGACTCAAAAATCAAAAAAACCAAAGAAGGCTGTGGCTATAGCACAGTGGTAGAGCACCTGCCTAGCAGACATAAGGCCCTAGGTTCAATCCCCAGTACAGAGGAAAGAGTTGGTGAGACAGGGAAGGGGGTGGAAGGTGTAGAGGGATGAGGAGGAGAAGTAGAAGAGGAGAAGGAGGGGAAAGGGTAATGAAGGAGATGAGGAGGGGGAGAAGAAAGAGGGTAGCTCGCTAGAGCATCATGCTCAGCATTGGCAGGATTTTACACATTGGCCACAGCACATGGATTAATAGCCGTCTGTTTAAATAGTTCCCGAAGGAACACCCATTACCTGCCATTTTCCTTTATTTCCCTCCTCATCTCACTCTAAATTTGAAAGCCTTGAGATTCCATTAGAAGAGTCTGTAGAGGGCTTCCCAGGGAAAAGGGGAAGGCGTTGGGAACAGAGAACTGATGGAGAGGCCTTTGTCTGTCTGCGCTCACGGTCTGCAGAGCCATTCCCCTTGGACATGTACTTTCACCATAATAGATGTGGCCTGCTTACCGAATACTACCCCTGGAGGAGCCTCAGTTTACATTAAGTGTCCTGGAGATTAGCAAGGCCCTCTTAGACCCAGTATTGCACTGTCTAAAGTGGTTTCATTTGCCAGCGGTGGGGAGCAGCGAGCCAACCCATTCTGCAAACAGAGCAGTCAAAGCAACACCTCCTTCCCAACTGTGCCCACGTTATTCCCAGCTTGGAGAAGCTCGTCTTAGATTCTTGCGATTGCAGGCTGCATTTATTTTTTGCTAATGATCCCTGAAGTTGATTGTGGTTTTGGTCATACGAGTCCAGCAAGGCAGACACTCAGATTTGCTATACAGACCATGAAATCAATACAAAAAAAACCCCTTGGGTTATACGAGCCTACTACCACACGGTGGATCACATCTTGCAATACTTCCTAAAAGATAATGGGTTTCAAAACCCAGCATAAATCTTCAGTGACAGGTGGGCTATTTGTCATGTTTTCTGGTGGCGGAATTACAGCAGCTTCAATAAAAGCCACTTGGTGGCTGGGTCATAGATTAATATCTGATACAATCATGATCTCAGGACCACAAGAAGTGAAGTGCAGGGGAGCGAAGCAAGTTTGCAATTATTCTAAGTTGGCCCAGAAATTGCTCAAAATCTAAACAAAGAGCAATATGATGTGGGGATTTAATATCCAGCGCTATAAAGTGATACTATGTTCTTGACATGGCAAACATGACTTCCACATGTGGCCAAACATGCGCAGTGCTGCCAACCATAATGCAGAGCAAATTGATTTGCATCTGTTGCTTACAGCATTTTAATTCCTAGCTTTGTGTTTAAGTCCTTGACACAAAATGATTTCCTCCATGTTTTTCTTGACTTACTAGAAATGTTTTTCCTGTGGCAAGTCAAAATAAATTGATTCTCTGATTAAATGACTTGGGTGAGTCCTTCCAAGTCCATTCTGCTTCTTGTGACAGATGAGTCAGCAGGGTTTATTGAGCCTCCACTGGGCTCAGGTTATGTACAGGGTGTCACATGAACCTGTAAGAACAGTAACTGGGTGGCCTTCCCAAGCCATCCACGTTTGGAATTCAGCCACTATTTCTGTCTCTATGCCAGGCTGACACTTAATTCTCTATGTTATGGAGAAAGGGAAGGTTGTCTTGACAAACATTTGGAGAAAGTCAACCAGAGGAATTTACTTGACTTAAAACTACGGTCTTAGCAATTAACTCTGGGTGCACCCTCTCCTTGTAATTTAGATTACTGTCTGGTAGAGGTCTCTCTTTTTTTTTTCAAATAATGGGTTAAAAAAATTAAAAGCCAAAAATATAGACATCATCTGTTGCACAGACATGAAGTGTGCAGAAAGAGCCCAGGGAACGCTCTTTCCCACTCCCATCCCCGCAGGTAACCACCGCCCCAGTTTCCTGTATGTACGTGCAGATTTTAAATGCATACAAAGAAAAAATAGGCCCAAGGTTATCCTCTCCCTCTCTGCCAATATAAATAGTAGCATACCATGTACACTGTCATAAAAAACTTACAAATGATATCTCCTGAAAATTCCTGCAGGCATACCAGAATAAAAGAAGCATCTCCAGTTTTTAAATGGCTCCTATCTGCTAATCAATCGTGTAGCTACACCATAATTATTTTAACCAGTTCCTTGTTGATTGATTAATACATATCCTTCAGATATTATGAACAGTGTACATAGGATACCTTGGCATAAGTGTCACCTTTCCTGTGTAGTGGCATGTTGATAGGAATCACTGTTGGAATGGGAATCACGGAAGCATCCTAAGTTTTGACAAGTATTGACAAGGAGCCCTCCACAGGGTGTGTAAGTTCCCATCAGCAGCATATGAGAAGGCATGTAGATCTAGTCCCATCCAAATACTATTATTATACAAGCTTCTCTGGCTTTTTTTGTCAATGTGAAAATGAAAACTCTGAAAGGGTTAGAGGAAAACATTGGCAAAAAACATTTCAAGATGGAGGAAAGGACAAAGACTTTTTTAAAGGTTTCCGTAGCTCAGGGAATACTTGCAAGCACGGACATACCAGGTTACACAAAATGAAAAGTTTCTGCACAGTGAAAGAAACAATCTGCAGAGAACAGACGGCCCACAGAGCAGGAGAAAGTCTCTGTCAATTACACACCTGGCAGAGAAGTACTATCTAGACTCTACAAAGAACACACACACACACACACACACACACACACACACACACACAAAATTAAGTACTGGAACCCCAAATCATCCAATAATAAGTAGGCAAATGAGCTGAACAGTAG